ATCGCCCATGAAAACAACTGTTTAGTTTGGGATTTATCTCATACAGGATAGCAGGTCAAAAGGCAGAATGCAGCAAGTGGCTAGATAACAACAGAATAGTATGGATACAAGGACTTTTGTTCAGAAGCACACAATGGCCCATTAGAGTTAGTACAATGTGTGACTGGTCTCTATGGGTATTAAATTGTTGAGCAAGATAAGGAAGTTAGTTTGTATCTTACAGTTGAGATTAATCTAATGATCAGAATCTGAGGCTAGTAATCAGTGAGTGGGATTGTATTACAACCTGAAAGCTACCAGGGCAGGGGCGGGCAAACTCAGCCCATCGGCCAGATTCAGCTTGCCAGGTCATTGTATTCAGCAGGTGGAGCTTCTCCAAAAAACAATTATTACTGGCCTGTGGCTGCCTTTCTGAAAGCTAGTGGGAGGTGGGCTTTCAGAGGTTGCTTACCATCAGACTGAGTGGGCATTGTGCCTCCATCTCCATGGGGCCCCTGGCACTCCAGCTGGGAGCCCCATGTGGAGGCACTGAGTGCAGTGGTGTATGGCTGGACAGCTGGTGAGTGGGGAGGGGAGTTCCCCCCTGCAGTGCCGGGAGCCCCATATGGAGGTATGCAGCCAGCCTGGTGGCGTGCCTTCTCAGCTGCGGTGCTGGGAGCCCCACATACTGGTGCATGGCTCCCAGAAGGAGAGCTGGGAGCTGCACGTGGTAACACAGAGCCCTCCTGGCCCAATGGCTTGTGTGTGGGGTGGGAGTGGACAGTGTAGGGTGGGTGTGAGTGGGGGAATGTGGGTGAGAGTGTGTGGTGGGAGTGTGGGTGAGAGGGGGACAGCCCCTACTGCTGCTGGCACAGCATGCCCTCAGGATGCTCATGGCCCATGCCAGGCAGAATCACATGCAGCTCCCAGAACTCAGCTAGAACTACCCATTGCCAGGGGGCTCTGCCTGCTGCAGGCCATGAGCACCCCAAGGGCCTGCTGCTGCTACTGCCTCTGGTGGCAGGGGCTATGCACCAAGGAGGTGGAGGTGGCATCTGTGGCGGGGGCGGGGGGGTCCACACCCACCAACACATCTCCCACAAACTCCACCACCCCCACACACTCCTGTACCTGCACCCCCCCCACACACCTAGACATCCCTTCATAATCCCCCCCTACCTTTCACAAACCATACACAAGAGTAAGACTTTATTTTGAGCTATTATGCAATCACTGCTATATACACTATGCAAATACATGTAAACCAGGTGGAAAAGGTCAAGGGTTAGGGGGTGGGGCTTCTGGTCCCAAGATGGTGATCAAGGGGTGGGGCTATCCCTATCCCAACAGCTGATCAAAAGTAGTTAAGTAGCCCCCCATTTGAAATAATTGCCCCCCCCTGTACCAGGGTGGTAGAGAAAGCATGCAAGTAGAAATCTATCCCAGCTTCCACCTCTGAAGAGCCCTTTCAGTGGGATAAAAAAGGCTACTACCGGTCAGTAGTGATATGCTTGAGTTACATGGACAGGATTGGAAAATATATATGCTTGCAGTATGCCTGGCAGTTCCTGTGCTATTTATTAATTTATTTTCAGGAGCACCAGATTCTCCTAAAAGCATAGGAAAGGAAAACATCTAAATAAATGTCAACCAAAATGTTTGTCTTCTGTATATTCAACACTCTCTCATTTTTGTATGTCTGCTTAGCAGTTGATTTAATATTTTACCCTTAGCCATGACATTTCTTTTATTGGTGTTCAACCATTGCCATTTTCTTTCCTAATGTGCCAAAATAATTCTTTTAGCCCAGTTGTGTCCAATTTTACAACTCTGGACATATTCATGGAGGGAGAAAAATTAACGTGCAGAACTGACAAGTTGACTCAAATGAATCCAACATAACTCAAAATTCAGTTTCTCTCAGCTTTTGCTATATTCAACTTTTCTTTGCACCTTTAAAAAACAAAACAAAACCCACAAACCTGAGACTGACACTTTTATTTTTCCTTGTCAGTTTGCACAGCAGATAACTGGCATGCGGTTCTGTGAAGCAAGTGCCAAGGATAATTTTAATGTGGATGAAATATTTCTGAAACTTGTTGATGATATCCTGAAAAAGGTAAGCTGTTTGCCTAGACTTTTATAAGTCAGATATTTTATTACTGCTTGCACAAGTGCTTGTTCAGAGTGCACAATAGCAAGTAAGTTATTTTATCTTGGAGCAGTCAGGATGCAGCTTGTGGACCACCTGCTATCTTCCGTTTGTTCTATTGTGGCACAGCTCTTAGTATTGTAATTGAAGTTTTCACTTACATGCCTCCATGCATAGTAGCTTAATTTTATATCAAGGTGCAGTGGCTGACTCTGCATTTGCCTGCTTCCTTTGCTGTCACAAATTAATTAGGACTGCTTCAGGGAATAGGCTTGGAGTAACACAGAAAAAAGTGTGTTTTGCTTAAATTGGCATGCTAAGAACTACAGAAGACTGGAGAAACAAGAAGTCAGCAACTTGACTATACAGGATACCAACTAGTAACGGAGACTGAAGCTATGTACAGGCATTATGTTTCTATTGGGAGAATCTCAGCTCTCCCATTAGAAACCACAAACGCTCATGCGGTTTATCCTGGAACAAAAATGGTGGTTCCGGGACAAAAATAACCCATCTCCCACTGGGAGGGCTTCTCCTCCCAGTGGGATGCTCTGGGAGGGCTTCTGGGAAAATGCATGCAAAGTTTTCTGCTGTTGGACTCCTAGGGACCAGGAGGTGCTGTGTGATGGGAAAACATTTCCTGCACCTTCCCAAGACCAGAGTTATTCTCATCTGGGGAGAGCACAGGGAATAGCTGCTGCTCACCTCTTCCCTGTCCCAGTGGGAGTTGAGTGGCAGGGAAAGGTTGTTGTGCCTTCCTCAGAACGAGGTCACCTCAGTCACAGAAGGCACAGGAGACAACTGCTGCTGCTGCTCCAGTAGGCAGAAAGCCAAGTTAAGGAGTAGCTACTCCTTGTTCACTACCCATGCCTCAGACTGGGCTCCATGGTCTGAGGAGTGGGTGAGTGGGGAAAATTTCCACCACTAGAAACGATAGCCTGTTTATGGCCTAGGAAAAGTAGCAACCTTGGTATGTATACAGGATGGAGCTGCTATCTTACAGTACTGTAGGGAGATCTCCGAGTCCCAGTTGTTATTTGATAGCTTTGATTTTAGATTTGTCTCCTGACCTCTTTATGCCTCTTTCTTCCTCCCCCCACCCCCCAAAATGATTGATGAACTTCATGAAGTGTCACTTTAATCTTTGGCTGATCAGTGCTATTTAAATGCTGAGTATTAGCATTATAGTGGAAAATCATTGCAAGTCTTATTTAAAAAAATAAATTCACCCCAAGTTAGGTTAACTGATCTGTTTAGCTGTGTTTCTACCTACACTATTGTCTGACAGTTGATTTAAAGTTTGAAACTATTTTAAGATTTGTAAGGATGTTACTTCTGCACTTTCAAATGCTGTAAAATAACGAGAGGCAAACATCTTCGTAATTGATTATCTTTTATTGGACCAACTGCATAGTTTAGATAAAATAATGAAAGTGTTTTGCTTTTCTCTATAGTAATAGTTTGCAAACACATGAAACTAGCTTTCCTGACTGAATAACTATATTAACATAGTGGGCAAACACTTAATTTTATGTATATTGGTTACTACTGCACCTTTAAAATTACAGGATTATTTGGAGTCTTGAATCTCAGTCAATGAATGGAAGTCCACAAATAAAGCACTGTGCTTAAAACTATTTAGCAACTTTTGAAGAGCTATAGAAGAAAACAAACTTTGTGCTCTTCAGTTCAATACATTATACTGCTTTGCCCTCTAGATTATTAGAAAATTGAATGCATGTTCTCTGTTATTGACAAACTGGCTATAAGAAACTTCTCCCAAATGTAGTTTTAATTATCATGATTCTATTATAGATCTTTTATCTGTCAAAATAGCAATACTACTTTGTTAAACACAGTGTGTAAGATTTTGCTCCTTTGAAAGAAACTTTAACACGTTCTGTTCTAATATTTAAAAAAAAAGTTGGTGCTAGGATCTCTGAGGCCCTAATGTTAATCCTTTAGCTGAACTGCAGCTCTGAAGTCTTTCCCTTACGTAGGAGCAGTTGAGAGTTCTGTGCACAGGATTATTTATAGACATGTTGGTTGTTTTTTTTATTTTTTCAGATGCCCCTGGATATCATAAGGAATGAGCTGTCAAACAGTATCCTGTCCCTGCAGCCAGAGCCAGAAATCCCACCAGAACTGCCTCCTCCAAGGCCACATGTCCGTTGCTGTTGACTTGTTGCTTCATACAGAGTGAAAAAAAAAAAATGAGTGGGAGGGGAAAGAAAGTGTCTGTACTTCTCTGCACTACAATCATTTGGCAGTTTCATGTTGCACTTTGTGTTCAAGTCAGAGCTACACACTAACTTGTATATATGCAAATATGAAATCCTGCATAGGATTCAGCTATAACAGTAAAATATTGCCCGTCTCCCTCAAAATGGTATTTCATTAATTGCCCCAGTGTTTATAAATATTTGTACAGTCTACAGGCAGCCACCACACTCCCAGTCTAAGAGGAGGAGAAATTAAATCTATACTTATTCTTGATTTTAAATGTTGTAATAGTCCTCATTGTTATAAATAGGCAGGCAGAAGCTCTTCTGGTATGAAGATAAGTATATGGTGCTTTGCTAACTATTTTAAGATGACTTTTTTTTCTCCTTAAAACAGAAGACTTCCATGTACAAAGCTTCCATAAGCAGCATTATGTTTCTTTTCAATATGGTCAACAATTTTCCTTTTCTTGCTGTAGCATCTGCAGCTGACTGGATTTACAGAAAATCAAAGAGTAATTTCCAGCACTCATTATTTATTATGTTTAATGCTGAGCCGTTGCTTTGTGTTCAAAGACATTATATTCGGTGCGGTTCTAAAGGTGCATTCTCAACTTGCATATACAAGTTCCTGTTTAAGCATAAACTAGGTTGCAGTCAGTAAAAGTAGAGATGTATCTGAACTGTAAAAGAACATTTTAAAAGCAATGCTGCTGTCCTAGACAAATTCTTTTTAAAAAATTTAAGAGCATTTTTCCTGTGTTGAGGGATATAGATAGATAGCTATATATATATATATATAGCTATCTGTGTGTGTGTGTGTGTGTGTGTGTGTGTATTTGTCTGGACACCTTGGTGGGAGGGATGGGTTGATGGTAAAACTTTTTTTTTCCTTTTCTAATGGTGGAAACTATTCCAGTCAAGCATATATTGTGTGAGGTTTTTGTCTGATTATGAATTTGTGAATTATATCTTTGATATATCTTTTATTAAAATGCACTGTTTAGTTTAGTTGTGGTAAATCAGTAATTACATATTTGAATAACTCAGTGTCCTGAATGTTGTGGTATTGAAAAACTTTGTGGTCTTTCTAAACTAATTAAATGCAAATAAAATTTTGTATTTATGAATGCCAGTGGAGCTGCACCTGTTTTTAGAATGGCAAGTATCAAGTGGTGGATACAAGGTAATATCATTGTTGTTAAAAAAAACAAAAAAAATCTTTATTTCCTTGAGATCTAGTTCCCATTTTTTAGGTAGGAAGAACAAGGCACACTAAGAGTTTGCTTTAACTACTGCACTCTTTGGATGATTTAGCTTAACTGGTATCCTGTGATGGCATGTGACTGTCATGATGTCTTGGCAGGCAGTAGCAAAGTTTTTAATGACCCACAGGGATACATATACAAACCAGTCTTGCAAAATATAGCTTCTCTTCTTTGGTATTTGAAACTGTCTCACCAGCTTTGCCTTTGTTTCAGCCTAAACACTTACACTGATCAGTAAGGTATACTACTGGCTTCTGCAACTTATTGTCTGTCTTCTGGAAGGAACTAGAAATTCAAAATTGGTCCTAATTTTTACTCCCCCAGTGGGTCTTAGAGCCCTTAGCCCAATGGATCAGATATACCATTGTGCACATAGTGCTGTCTAGGAGATATCTCTTTGGCATACTCAGCTTCAGCTAATAAATTAAGGAAGCTTGGTTAATGTTTGTGCTTATGTCTTCTGCCACCTTGTGCCTAGACAGTTAGCTTTTTTAGATAGTAAACCTATGGTTTACTGTAGTACTGATAAAATGAAATCCAATTGTCCTAGTACTTGTAGGACTTCTGTGGGCAATAGCAAGGAAGGGAAAGTTATGGAAAAAAGTTTTAACTTGACAACTATGACTTTAGTTGATTTGTTTTTATATGTATTTAGAAACTTGTGGTTTTTTTCTGCAGTTTTTGAATTTAATAAAAATTAAAGAGAACTGACTTAGATTTTTTTTTCTTGTAATCATGCGCTACGATTTTATTTGAATGTATCTGTTTCTAGTAATCTTCAAGGTAACTTTTATTAAGAATTTTTATTTGATTGTTAATTGAAAATATTTCCTGAGCTCTTTTGCTGTGATTTTTTTTGTGGAACAGTTTGCGATAGCTCCACTGTTGGAGGAAAGATGAAGAGCACTGTGCCCCTTCCCACTTCCCTCTGTAGCTTCAGGAACAATTTCTGTGTGTCAGAAGCCTTCTAAGTGCTGCTGCTGTTTTCCTGCTCCAGCTATTCCCTGGTAGTTTTATACTGTGTTGGAGAAAAAAGAAACAATAGCCTAGTTGTACCTTTTGCCTCTTTTCCTGCTGGACTATGAGATCTAGACTTTTTGTTTTAGTTTAGTTGAGCACTTTATGAAAGATTGTTTCCCTCCCACACAAAAGCAGCTGCATAGCCCAAAAGGGGAATGAAGAGAAGCTGAAAACTAGTTACAGGTCACCAATTCTCTCCCTTGTGTCCACACAGGCTAGAGTAGATTAGGGACTGCTCTAATTGTCTCTCCTGGTTATGGGTCTCAAGGGACCATTATATGCCAGTTAGAAATAATTAAGGCCATAGTACCATAGAGAAGTTTCTGTTCCCCTTTTATGCCTCTCCATCCCAAGGCATTCACTGCAGAAAGGGCAGAGATAACTGCTATGGTCATTCATCAAGTTCTCTATGCTGGTCCTCAGCAGGTTACTTAATTCAGAGGTAGGAGAAATGACCCAGGAGAACCTCAAAAGGAGTAGATCTGCCCTAAAACAATTATGGTCCATTCACCTTCAATACATAAAATGTTGCTGTTGAAGTTTGCCACTTGCCTCACTGGAGCTAAGATTTCACCCAATATGTTTTTTTCTCACAAATTACATAGGTTGGAATAATACTGTTATGTTAGTATCACAGATTAAGTATCTGTAGTTAGCTGTGTTAGTCTGAAGTCAGGCATAAGACAAGGTAGAGATGCACCTTTATAAACTAACTGAATCAAAGATGCATAGAAGTTTATGTGAGCAAGAAACTCACATCATCAGAAAGTCTGCATCTCTGATTCAGTTAGTCTACAAGGTGCATCTCTACCTGCTTTCTGGCAGATTTCGTATCTGTGATAAACTGAAAATCAGGTTGTGACTTAGAGACGGATAAAATTGTAAATTTCATCTATTACTTTGAAGATCTGAAGGGATAAAACGCGGGGTTTTTGAACAGGTCAAAAGGTGTTGATATCCAAAGATTGAGACCTATTTTATATGTATTATAGAAATAATATATGAGAAATATTAATAAATAAATAGTATGAGGACTATTTATAAGATGTTTATATGCATACACACTGTATTTCTTATTTCTTGTAGTTGTATTGAAACAAACAAAAAAATGAAGCTAGGTAAAGAGTTTACTTTCACTAAAACTTGTCATTGGTATACCATTGCATAAGAATGCTTTTTGTTCAGAGATGCATTTATTCTTTCTTTCCTGAATTGTGGCATTCATCTTTAGAAGGCCGGTACCCTAATAAATAATTTTGTCTATTTTGAACATAAACTATAAAAATACATATTTTTGATAATTATGTTTAAGGATAATTGTATCAGGTTTACTGTTAAGTTCAAATATACCCCTTTGAATAGTAGCAAGATGGCAAACTAAAACTTTGATTTCATCAGGGAATCATCTTGCCATGGCAAGTGCACTAATGTGTAATGTCCATTAGGTGTCACTAGAGCTGTGTGTAAAAGGGAATGTGAACAAAGCAAACTGCCTTGTACCTTATTACAACCTGAAAAGCAACATTCCCCTGCTTTTGAAAGAAGAAAAATATAGGCTTTGTTTTAAAATGTAATAGTGATGATGATCTATGTATTCTGTAGATACTGTTGGGGAAAAGTCAGCTAGTGTTGTGTTGATTAAAAGAAAAACTTTGAGATTGAAAGCACAAATAAAAAACTTCTACAGACAGAAAAAATGTGTAATACTTAAATATGTGTTTAACAGAAAGTGAGGTGTTTACCCAGTTGTATTATCTTAATTAAACTGAGTTCATGCTTTATAATTGAAAAGTAATATTTTTACAACTTTTCTAAAATCATTGGACTAACTTCTTTTAGATTTCCAAATACATGGCTCTACCAAAACACGAAGAGCCCTGTAAGTGACTTTGACATTACATAATTTATAGGTTAACATTCTATAAATAGTGTTGGTTACACTTGTCCACAAAGTCTGTCCCCAGATGAATGCAGATGTTTTTCCCTAGGGAAAGTAGCAGCAGCACACCTTGTGCCACTGCTACATGTCCCTGGGGACGTCCGTGCCATGCATGCTCTGGCGCACCGCACATTACACTGAGTGGGGAAGGGGAGGCTGGGGCCAGCAACTGTGCTGTCTTCAGCAGTCTTACCTGGGATCCTGAGGGTCTTAGGGTGCTGCAGCCACAGTGTTCCTGCAGCTGGGTGCCTTGCCAGCAGCTGAAGTATGACTCTGGCCAGCCAGACTCCAGTTTTGGGTTGTGCGCACTGCCACCGTGTGCACCACCCCACTTTTTTTTGGCATGGGTTTTTTTACCCTGGGATCTTCCAGGGTCAAAACCCTCCCCGCTGTGTTGCAAAGTAGCTGCATGGGGAATGCCTGCATGTGCAGTGTGCGGCACCACAGATGGATCTGTGGCACCACATATTGCATGTCTGCACTCATCCAGACACAACCTAAAGTATCATTTATATTATGATTGCTAGTATATCTGAGAGAGTATTTTTTTGATTATATTAAAAATGTGCCTTGCTTATTGTTTTGTTTTTTCCCCCCAACCCTGGACAGAAAAGTCTTTTAGTCAAGTGAACAACACTACTATATAAGATCATACTGTATAAACCTTGTGCTTTGTACTAATACATACCTTTACCTCCTTTTAATCAATTGGTACGAAGTCTTGTCCGACTGGCAATAGAAAAAAATAAATTTGTAATTTTAATCCCTATAAGAAGGCCAGTCCAAGCTGAGGCATCTAGCTTGCTTTGGGCCTCAGCAGATAGTCTTGCTCTACAATGTTTAATAAATTACTTTACCTGAATATTGTTGTTCTGCTTTGAGGAAAATTTTCTCTCTTGAAAAGGAGTAAACCCTCTTGTCTGTATTCTGTCATTGAGGGGGAGGGGAACCTGTTTTCTTTTTGCAGTAAAAGTTGTTTACTCTTCCTTTCACTGGGATTTTTCCCTGCTAGGTTCTTGAATAAAGGGCCTTGCCACTGGCCCTAAAGCTCTCAGGTGGTCAACATATAAAATGTAATATGTGTCAAAGATCCCTTTCAAATCTGCCACACTGAACAATACTATATGTGCTACCTCTTCTGGGTGCAAAGTCTACAAGGTCACATAGGATTACAAACAACTGGCTAGAATCTGCTAAACTGATTATGTTCATCTGCATAGAACCCTCTTTCAGGGAAAGTGGTGTGAATTCACACCAGCAATGTGAGCTGACAGACAAATTCAAATTGGGCCTAATAACCACCTGTAAGAAAGTGAAAGATCAACCTTTTGGCATTGGGATTAGAGACTTTGTTGTTTCTGTTATTCCACTCTGGTTACCATAATCATTTCCCTTTGGTAGACATACCCACAGAAAATGACATCCTTAACCACAGCTATCCTTGCAGGTTTCCTAATGAATATAAGGCAACCTATCAGAACTGCTAGACCTCTAAAATCCTAGGAGCTTGTAAAATTCTACCTGCCCAATAGAAAACTGGCTGTCTATCTTAGAGCTCTGTTCAATGAAGGCAGTTCATTCTAGTGTACTAAGCAAGTAACAAGCTGCAGACAACAACACGCCTTGCTTTCTTGGTCACCATCAGATTTTAACTTTTTAGCTTCCTGAGGCTTTGAACAACATTGGAGGGCTGTTGCCCAGAAATTAAGGATCACTGATCTAGGGCCAGAAAAATTAAGACCCAAGAACTATATAATATGGGCTCAGGAGAACACCGTCCAGTTGTCTTTGTTTTAAATTAAAACAGCTTTAAAATGGGTTTCGTTTATGGAATATGCAGACATAATTATCAATGTGAAGCTTTTTACACTTTCACATGCACAAGTAAATGTAGGTATGCTCAGTACAGATTATAAAGTTGTCTGCTGAATGCAGTTAGAAATTGGTTTTTAATTCTCACCTCTTACAAGTCTGAGTGCACATCCTCTTTTAGTTTTTAGTGCCTTATCCTGATTTTGAATTTTGTTTTGAAATAAATGTTTCCAGATAACTGCACCAAAAGCTCTAAATTCAACCAGTTCACTTGATTCCCCTGTATGTTTGTATGCAGATGATCAAACTAAAACAAGATAGGAATGGCCAAAATAGAGTTTAAATTTAAATAGTTTAAAATCAGTCCTTTATTTTATGCAACTTTATTCATAGATTCATAGATTGTAGAGTCAGAAGGGACCATGAAGGATCATGTCTGACCCCCTGCCCCAGGCAGGAAAGAGGTCAGACAACCCCAGCCAGGTGATTATCCAGCCTCTTGAAGACCTCCAAGTTGGGTGATAGTACGACCTGTCTTGGCAGCCTGTTCCAGATTCTGGCCACCCTTATTGTGAAAAATTTCTTCCTAATGTCTAACCTGAATCTATTCTCCACTAGTTTGTACCCATTATTCCTAGTTACTTCTAGAGGTGCCCTGGTAAATAGTGAATCTCCAATTCTCTGTCCTCCCTTGATAAACTTATAGGCGGCTACAAGGTCTCCCCTCAGACATCTCTTGTGAAGGCTGAACAGATCCAGACCCCTCAACCTCCCCTTGTAGGGTCTAACACGGAGGCCACTAATCATATGAGTGACCCTCCTCTGAACCCTCTCCAGATTCTCCTCATCCCTCTTGAAGTGCGGTGCCCAAAACTGGACACGGTACTCCAACTGTGGCCTGGCCAATGCTGCATAGAGGGGGAGCATTGCCTCCCTCAATCTGTTGATCATGTATCTGCTAATACACAAGAAGGTGCGATTGGCTTTGTTGATGGCCTCATTACCCTGCTGGCTCATGTTCATCCTGGAGTCAACTATGACTCCACGATCTCTCTCAGCCTCTGAGCTGCTAAGGAGGTCATCCCCCAACCTATAGGTGTGCTGGGGATTCCTCCTTCCTAGGTGGAGTACCTTACATTTATCTTTGTTGAATTGCACCCAATTTCGTTTCGCCCATTGATCCAACTTGTCTAGGTCGACCTGCATCTGCTCCCTGCCCTCCGGTGTGTTAACTTTGCCCCATAACTTGGTGTAATCTGCGAACTTGGAGAGGGTGCTCTCCACACCCTTGTCCAAATCACTGATGAAGATATTAAATAACACCGGTCCAAGGACCAAACCCTGCAGGACTCCACTGCCCACCTCCTTCCTGGCCAAGAACAACCTGTCAACCACCAGTCTCTGGGTGTGGTCCCTAAGCCAGTTAGCCACTCACCTGACTGTGTAGGCGGCCACTCCACAGCCCGTTAGCTTCCCTATGAGAATAGGATGCAAAACTATCGAAGGCCTTCTTAAAGTCCAGGTAGATGACATCTGCCTCAGCTCCTGCGTCGAGGCAGTGTGTGACCTGGTCGTAAAAGGCTATAAGGTTTGTCAGGCAGGACCTACCTGTAACAAACCCATGCTGGTTTTTTTCAGCATCATTTCCCCTGCTGAGCCTTCACAAATGCGCTCTTTGATTTTTTCCAGTGTTTTCCCAAGCATAGAGGTAAGACTGGCTGGCTTAAAGTTACCCGGCTCAGCCCTTCTCCCTGTCTTAAAAATGGGCACCACACTGGCCCTTTTCCAGTCCTCAGGGACCTGGCTGGAGCACTATGACTGCTCAAACAGCTGTGCCAGCGGCTCAGCTATGACACTGGCCAATTCCTTCAGCACCTGTGGAAGGAGGTCATCCAGGCCGGCTGACTTGTACCCATCCAGCCCTTCCAAGTACTCCTTAACTAAGTAAGCACTAACCTTTGGTGGTCTGGTGCCTTCCGAACATCTATCTATGTTTGAGTTGGGGGAATTGTCTTGGTCAGTACTTAGGAATACTGAAGCGAAGAACTCATTGAAGAGCTCTGCCTTTTTCTCTGTGTCAGCCACCAACTGTCCTGATTTGTCCTACAGGGGCCCTATGTTACTCTGCGCCTTCCTTATGGGTAGACTAGGTCATAGGAGTGATGAACAATCAGGATGAGTTAATGGTAGCCAAACAAGGTTAGAACAAGAACTATATAAGCTGTGAGAAAAGTAACTTTTTATTAACTTCCTCCTTGCATTTACTAATGAAAAAGGTATCCAAAATGCCTGAGAGGATCTTGTTTACCAAAGTGGGGGAGGGGGAGGAAATGTCTTCACCTATGGAAAAATGAATTAAAGAAGTGAGGAAGACACAAATATGTATTTGCTAATTTAAAAAAAAAAACCTGGATTACTCAAAAAAAAAAAAAAAAAAAAAAAAAGGTACATGAATTGCCTCTGATAGATTTTAGGGAGTTCACAAGAAAACATTTGACAGTTGATTCTGGAAACTTGGAAAAAATTGTGTGCTCTCAGAAGATGAATATCATGTCTGTTTTTGGTGTGTGTTTTTTCTCTAGTCTTTAAAAAATATATATCTGGATTTTCAGAGATTTTATTATCAAAATGTGATTAAATTTGTACCCAGGCCAGTGAAATGAAACACTGTGTAGACAGAACCATAAACAAGGTTTCCAAAGTCGCTATCCATCTGGCTGTTGCTTTGGATGAGCCTGTATACAAGACATTCCCACTAGAAGTGGGATCCACTCTGACAAAACTTCTTAAGAACCGCAGTTATTGTAAAATCAAGGAGGAGGGAAGAGGGATGTTTTGTTTCTGAGAGATGTCAGGCCCAGAACTAGTGAAGACTAAGGCACGTGCTTAACTTGATTAAAGCCAACGGGATTCCATACAGTGCATGAAGTTAAGTGCATACTTAAGTCTCTACAGGATCTGGACTCTATTGCTCAGTGCCAGGTTTAGTCTAAGTATCAGGCTGTGAGAGCTGATTGAAATGGGCAATAGTAA